CTCTCCTTCTCTCTCCTTCTCTCTCTCCTTCTCTCCCTCCTCTCTCTCCTCTCTCGCTCTCTCGCTCTCTTTCACATTTACATTCTCTTGCTCATACTCACACAATCACTACCACTGTCACTCGCTCTCACACTCTCTTACTCATAAGTTGGTCTTGAATATGGACAATAACAAAATTATGATTCTGGGGTATCAGAGATATGTCAAACCACTGCTAGTGGAATCGCTAATGAAAAGATTAAAGATTCTCCCATCCCATATGTTCGCTCTGCAGGATGTCTTGGTGTGATAACAGATTCATGCATGTGAATCATGTAACTAGAAAAATGTGGAGAACACTATGTCAATTGAGATTTTTGGATAAACTATTGTCTCAAAATCTTTGGATTGAGTTGAGTTGGGTTGGTAAGCCCTCTGACTTTTCCAGTCTTTGATTTTTGTTCACCCCTTCTTACTGACATATCTGTAGACTGACCTGAGCACAGGCAGAGGTCACTGAACATAAGCATTAGGTTTATTTTCCTTATTATGAACCTATTAAACCATTCTATTGTAAATTTCATTGGTTCAAAATATCCAATAAAAGAACTTACTTTGTTCTCCCAGAAGTACACAAAATTCTCCATTTTAATTCACCAACTTACCGCAATCACTAAGTGCAGATAGTTTTGACTTGGAATGAGGGAGTATTTCATCTTCTACATTTTAGAACAAAAACATATGTGAAGTAATTTTTGATATATGGGGTGGATTTGTGGAATAAATTGCCTGTGAGGATTAGGTCTGCACTATCCCTGGATGCTTTCAAGAGCAGAATGTTTGAGTATCTGCTGGATCTGCAAGGGTGTACGTGATTAAGTGCACCGTTATTATTGTGGATATTGTTGTTTGGTACTTGAGGTTTTGTTACTGTATTATGGTATTCGACATACTTGATTGTACTAATTATGTAATTATTTTTCAACCAAACGGGTTTTGGTCAAAATAAATTATTATCTATCAATCTCTCACTCTCTCTCCCTCACCCTCTCATGTGTACTATACTACTACATGTGATGGGAAACTAAATTTGGGAGAGTTCAGACCCTGTCTCTGGCTAGGCTGGTACCCCACTGGTGGTACCTAAAAGAGGGAAAACCCACAAACCACCATGTAGGCACATGAAGTCGTAGGCTTCCGCGACCAGAGTCATGTGGGTGATCTGGGCTGTCCGGGTGACGCCGCGTTGAAGGCTGAGTTAGCCTTCACCCGGACAGCCCAGATCACCCACATGTAGGCACATGGCACAGGATTCACATCATGGCAGGAACACTGCCACCTCCTGGAATATAGCACGCACTAGACTTCTGGGGCCAATGACCATAGCATGTTAACTTAAATAATCAATCAATCTACATGTTTTTGCCATGTTGACCCTGAGGAATCTGGTTCTATGTGCTAATTGTGTTGCAACACGCCCACCCCACCACCCAGCTTTGTAGGGGACCCAAAATGCTCATTACAATATCGAAAACAAAAAAAATTGTTTACGTTCATATTACCTTTATTTTAATTGATTTATAAATGATTGACAATTTTTTTTTTTTAAATTTAATTACAGTCATTTATCTTTTACTTTCAAATAGACCGTTTTTTTAGGAACTACATCTTTAAATAATAAAAATCTTTTTGTTAAAAAAGTGTAGAGAAGACATATATTGAGGATCTTATACTAAAAATGGAGAACAGAAATTCATTAAGATGGCACTGCCGTGACGTCTGTCATCTCTGTAACAATAATAATTAAAGCCAAGTTTGAATAAGTTAGGTCTTTGGATCTGTTCTTTGAGACCTCTACTTAACAAAATATCATGTGATTTTAATTACCCATTTGTACTTAAATACATACTTAAATACAAAATTTGTACTTATATTAATATATATATACATGTATAATATATATATGTAATATATATGTATATGCATATGAAAAAACTGCCTGTTTAAAAAGTAATTAATTAATTATTGAATGCTCAGAGGTTATGTTGATTAGTATTGGACTCTGCTTCTTTTAATATTTATTTATTTACAAATACACTTTTTTCTACTTAAACTAAAAATTTAATGAAAAAAATGGTGTTTTTGAAGAAATTTTGTATGATATCAATTTTTGGGTAAGTTTTTTAGAAGTTTCTCAAAAAGCTCCCTTTAAAAGCAAAAGATTTGCTCAAGTGAAGTCTCATCTGCCTCCACTGGAAAGAAATCTGAAGTGTGATTTATATGCAAATATTGTTCATAAATAGCTGAACACAAGGAAAGACAGGCATGGTTTTAAAAAGAAAACTTTTCGGGTATTGGGGACCCCTCCAGGATGTGTTTTACTGTCAACTTTTTTAGATCAATTTTTTTTGCTGCATTTTATGTATATGAGAAAGTTAAACTTTTTTTGAATAATATTCTTGCTTTATTTGTTTCAAAAATTTACAGGCTATGCACAGAGGATTTGTAATTTGCGGCCTTCCATTTGCTCAACAGAATGGAGAACCAAGTGCTCAGGAACAAATGCATATGATTTTCAGTTGGCCTATGGAACCAAAAATTTTTATTTATGTAACAGTAAGTGTTTTTAAATTATATACATTTGTTAACCTAATTTTTGGTTTTAAAACAAAATATCACATTGATTGAAATTATTGGAATTAATTTCACATTGGAGTGAATTCTCTTTTTTCTTTATTAGAAAGTGAACTACATGTAGTATTATCCTGATTTTCTTGTTATTATATCTGGATGTCATATCTAATATTTTCAATTTTTAAAAAATTTAAACAGAAACTGAAATTAATATTTTTGTAAATTTTTCTACAAAATGCTGATGTGGGGAAAGTCCAACATAGCAGTATTTCAGCACTTTGCATCATTGCAAAGCACTTGCAGAATAACATTGTCCAACATGGCAGTATTTCAGCACTTTTAAACATTTCAAGTTTTGTTAGAATAAAACGTCCATACCTAAACCTATTTGTCAGATTTGTCTACACTAATGATCAATATTACGATGAAGTTATTGTGTAAATGACCTCAACATTTTTATTTAATTGCCATTGCAACTTAATTAATAATTTAGAAATTATTTATTTATTATTGAAATACATGAGATTTTCCCCCTTTTACTAAGTATTATAAACATGAATTTTAAAAAATGATAACATGGAGATCAAATTACAATATAATTTAGAATTTTCACACTTTGAAAACAGTAAAACATATTTGTAAATAAATTCATTGCAGTAACATAACATATTGTCTTATCCCATCTTGCCAAACAACTTGATTTTATAAGAATTCAATGAGACATCGAAGAAATCTATGGTGGCATACTCATTTGCAAACATTGGCAGTCTGATGAGGGTGTAATTTGCCAAATAGGCTATTCCGTCCTAGATGGCACAACTTTCATCATTACATGAGTTTTCAAGGATCTTGTAAGCATGATCAGATGTATTTTTTCAAGAATATGGGGGGCACATATAAATCCTTGGATAATAGCTCAAAGATTATCAGATCTTTTATGCTGCACTTCTGCACAAGAGTTTTTTGACCCAAAATCTTCAGTGCAAAGAAATAGTAATGTAAAAATCTATTCATGGTTCCTCCCGCTTTGTATGCTAAAAATCTCAAGTATTTGTGTTATACATTTTCAAGGTGAGATTTTAGCTTGGATGTAGGCAGGTTCCAAATTGTACTTTCAATTAATTATCAGTTATATATTTCACAACTATAAATGAAAATATTATACATGCTTTTGAACTGTTTCAGTGTCCTAATGCCGATGTTGTTACAAAAAATAAACAAATGTATTATGATACTGTAACAGGAAATTACATAAATAAAAATGTATTTTCAATTCACAAAGAAGTTCTATTGGTGTTTAGTCATGAACCACGAATTTCTACAATTGGCAGTGTCACTGATGATGTCTACAAGGAAATTGAACAGGTATTGTTAAGTTTTCCTCATAATTACTAGGAAAATTGAAATACTGAACAGAGTTCTGGGTATTATAAATGTTAATGTAAATACAGGAAAGCATGAAATATTCAGATATCAAAAATTTGGATTGTTGATAATTTGAACTTGATAATGTC